AAATATTTTTTGAAAATAGTTAGGCCCAAGTGGTTTTCGAGGATGAATAAGATCACCAAAGTTAACTAGACTTATTGGAAAATACAAATGCTTTGTAATGCTGACATCAAATGGTAAAAGTGTGAGATTCGATGTGTATTCACATGAAACAATCCTGTATATCATATGTTTCTTTCACACATGATCAGCACTTTCATTGTTAAACTATTATTATTATTATTATTATTATTATTAATGTATAGATATATTTGAAATACGCAAACCATTAACAACTAGTTTAGAAGTGAAAGAAATGTTAGGAATCTGCAATATGCAAAATAATCACATACATAGGCCTACATAATCATTTGAAAAGTTGCACAAATATAACTTGCTGTTTCTGGAATGAATTAATAGCCCGTCGAAGGGAATAGGTTGAAGTAATGAAATTATGTACAGATTCCCTTTCCTCCAGTTATCACTAAACTTAAACATGCATGGAATACAAATCTAATATAGGTGATATACAACTTCACATATTTGCAGGAGGGTGATCCCCTTATCATAAATCTTAGCGAATATTAACAAGGAATTGGCGTTATCAAGTTCTTATCTCAACGCAAGGAATATCAGATTGGATCAGCCTGCAATTGCAAACAGATTTATAGTAGTATTCAGCGCGTTTCCGTTGAAATCCTCTCTCAAACGTGGACGCTACATGGGCCACATGCAGGACACATTTTGGATATTTTCGTTGTCTTTGCCCCAATAGGTAAATACAAACTACTTAGTTAATTCATTTTCCCCCTGTCGGTGTGGAAACATGGCACATAGCTGCGCTTGATGGCTTGCTGTATTGTGGTTGCGCCTGCGCACAGAGATAGAGCTCGCTTTGCATCGCTCGTCTGCTGACCCCACGGTGACACCATATGCATTATGGATGAGATATGCGCCCAGATTAACCCTATCAATATGCAAAACACATTACGCTGTTCAAATGGCAATTTCAACGTTCGAAATTGTGGCGAACGAATGTTCCAGGTCCTCCATCGAAAAGACCGGAAAGGTTTGGAGGTTTTTGTGATACCAAATAACAGTAGAGACCCAGAGAAAAGGGAAAGTCGTGCTCATATTGTACACAAGCAACAGCAACTCTCCAAATTCCATTAACAAGTTTCAGTCATAATCTAAGACTATTTAGGTCAGTCATGTTATCTTTAAACTCAAATTAAATTGGCTATTAACACGTCTCAAATTGAAAGCAATGTAAAAGACCAAGACACATATGTTATAATTTCTGTTAAAACCACAATACAGTTTTCCATACCCTTTACCGATACGCTTCTCTCTGCTCTCTCATGTTGTGCCAACACTTCACCAAAACACACCCCACACCCACATGTAAAAGCACACACACACACACCTTGCAATGAAAAAGCTGTCGCCTATTTACTCACCCACACATCTACAAACGTTTATGCTCGTGCTAAGTCTCTGACTGTTCAAAAAGTGCATGTAGCCTACATAAACGGGAAACAGATGATGAAAAAACAAAGTGGTCGACTTCGTGGGGGTCTAGGTCGGTGAACCCGTTGGACAACTTTGAAGAGGAAAACATGCATGTGGCGCACTACTTCTGTGACGGGCTGAGGCCTCTGGCCAGATTCCTCCCGACTGTATGCTATCATCATAAAAAGGAAGCTGATGAAAAATGAAATGGAAGTCCTAACCTCTCCTCCCGACCAGAGTTTCGCCTTCCTGTTTACTGGCTTGAACTTCCTCACTCTGTTACGTGCTCACACACACACACACATATACACACGCGCGAAAGCGCGCGCACACACACACGAGGAGCCAAGAGTAAAATACACTGGAAACCCAATTTTCGTTTTATTTTTAAATAAATAGGACGCTGTAGGATTTAGAGTTATAGAACACATGAACTAGGCCTAAGATCCCAATGGACAATATTGGATTCTCAAAAATACCGTATGGGACGCTTCCCAACAGCTGAACATATGATTGAATCATTCTATTGCATTGTTGATTTGATAATATTTGAAAAGAGAAGGTGCAATTAAATGTAGTCTTAGTGAAAATAATCAGATATTTACGCATAAAACGTTAACCTCATTGGCAATTGTTATTGTGATATAGGTATTCTTGTGAAACTAAACATTAATAACGTGTTTACATCTGTCTTGCTCATAGTTCGATATGCTGTTATTGTCATATTAATATAAGTTTAAATAGGCCTCATAGAGAAGCCCATAGTGGATTTTCCATTTTCCGAATATAAAATGCAAAAGTTGCCATTAGAAATATAAAACCCCATATCCTTGTGAATGAATTTAGGCCTGCCATGAATATGAATAATGGTAAACAAAACTGTTCATTCTGAATAACTTTTCTGGTAAATATTCCACTGCGTAAAGTTGTTTTTTTCTTAATATTTTGCATTATGCTACGCACAACTCTCCTTACAAACAAGAACTGTCCAGACGGTTGAAAATACTAGAAGATAAATAGGGCCAGTCGGCCCCATATTGAAAATACATTGGGATAGATCTGAGAGAAAATAATTAATGACAGTTGGAGATCTGTAGACGAGTTCTGAGGAACTTCCGAAATAAAATCCCTCCCTATTAGCAGCCGTTCACTCGCTAGCCTATCTCTGCCATGGGTCTTGTTGCGGTTGCCCCCTGCTTTGGTTAGACTATATAGCTATTAATTGTTAAAATAATGACGTCTGTATCCTCTGTTTTTTGATCGACAGTAACTGCCAGAGATTCCACGATAAAGATCTTTACACAAGGATATGTAATGATTAAAGTTTAAAGTTTACACTTGAGTTCAACTACAGTTGGTCTCAAATGTGAGTGTCGCTTTGACACAACTATTAAACAATTTACATGAAGGATTTAATCATACGACATACAGAGGTGCCATTTCCATGGTATTGACTATATCTCAAGGATGATTTTAAATCAAGCCTTTGTTCCTTAAAATAGTCCTGCCTACATGGAGATTTTGATACAGGGGTTGAATGTGAATGTTCGCATCCAGTTTTGCTATTCACACCCTTCCTTCTTGAAAATACTAGGGCAGGGTACGAACAAAGATTTGCTTGTACCTCAAGGACGCATATCATTATAGTGTGTGTGTGTGTGTGTGTGTGTGTGTGTGTGTGTGTGTGTGTGTGGTCGTTCTATGAAAATAGTGGACTTTGGTGACATTTTCTGATTACTGGTGTTGATATCTATTCCATACACTAAACCAGTGTGCGTAAAAGTGTGGGTAAAAGTAATCTATTGCCCACTGGATAATCACAATAGCATATCTGATTCTCAAATCAAACAGGTAGAAACAATGAACAACCACAATCACGCATATTACGCTCATATTCATATTCATAATAACTTTGAACTGTTTTATTTTCTGTTCACAGCTCTATACTGTCTAAGGACCCATCGCCATGACCGTCGAGTAGCCTATGCTGCAATCTGTTTGTGGCTGAAGCAACTCCACTCCAGGTTATCAAGCACCTTAACGCCTTAGCTTTCTTTTAAATTAATACGTTATCAGATTATAGACAAGAAATGTTCAATAATTTTGAATATCTAATAACAATACTTCCGAATCAAGATGTCAACGTGTGTACCACAACAAAACTTTATTTCATAGATGCAAAATGACACTAAAAACGACAGCCTGTATGTCTAAGTAACTTCCCTCAACAGTTGAGTCTACATGAATTCCCTCGGAGGCAGAGGTCAAAGTTTGTATAGTTACATCCACAAATACATAACTAAAGCATATACACAAGCACACATAAACACTTGTATCTATGATGCCTATATCACATGTCCCACACATAGCAGATAGGCCTAACTAAAATACCCGAAATATATGAAGGTCCAGAGACTCAGCACCATATTAATACCACAGTTGAGAGTAAAATGAATGACACACTAATTACAAACGATGCCTCCCCTCTCCTTCCTCCCTTGCCCCTAGGCCTAGCCACCAGCCAAATAAGCCTTAAAACTGGACTTACTGTGCAGTTGGTGCATTCATACAGTCCACTGGCTACATTTCCGCCTTGAAATGGTTCGAACCGGAGCGCAGACATTGTGTGTACCAGACAAGGGCATGGCAGTGGCCTACTACAGAGCTCTTCTCTAACTACTGACCCTTTAGAATCCCTTCGAAGCAGTTAAACCGTCACTTGCATTCTAGAATGTGAAATATATATTGTCAACTCCCCAAAACCATAAAACTAACTTTATGGACCCCACGTGACTTTTGAGAGCCAGTAAGGGGTATCTGTCGGTGGCCTGGGCGATTTTTACGATCTAACTTCAAGATAAAACCCTCATCCGTTTGACATGTAAATGTCACAGCTTCTTTTGGTATAGTTTGGCCAAAGGGGAAAGCAAATTTTCAAAACGCAATTGGCCAGGCAGCGCCGGGCAGATGGGGCTTTTTGGCAGGACCTTTACCCGGCTCTCAAAAGTAGCGTAGGACCAGAAAGAACCGTTGAGGACCAGCTGGTAAGTTTAAAAGTTCAGTGCTTGTTTACTGAAAGTGAGACGTAAACTGATTTGTACAGGAGGGACACAATTTAACAGTGAGGAAATCATTACAGAAAAGTGCCCAATTCGTTAATGTTTTTGATGTCAAAGTTTGTCAACAAGAGATGGGCCAAGAGTATGTGCTCGGTGTGTATTTTAGTTGAGTTTCAGTTGTTTTGCGGTTGTGATTGCCACATGTCCCTCAGGTTGCATTTAAAAAATAGAAATGACTGCAGTAGTGGTTATGTCCTTGTGCGTAATGCGTAACTGCGATTGTTCCATTTAAGACTTAACTCTGGCCTATCATTTGTCCGACTGCATTTGTGGAAGACTTAGACATATTCCCGAAATATTTAGATAAGGTTTTGAGACGAATTGACAGCTGATGTCGTACACAGAAGGGTACACGTCTACCAGTTTTGGACACTGGGTAGACGGGGGTCTGGGAGTTTGATACGTGTTTGACCTCAGCTGGGTCGTTTGTGAGGTAGGCAGGGGGTACATAATTACAAGTAGTGTGCTCGAGGGGTTTGGTCTGAGTATGAGGAACTTTATTTTGTACTCCAAGGTAAGCTACAAACAAATACAAAAAGCTTATTGGCAAAATGCTTACAGGCAGTCCGAAATGACAATTGCCATTTTCCCCCACACACTTGTCATTCACTCTGCCCAATACAAATAGCCAATTGGTCACATTAAAAATGTCTAATATATACATCCTTTCTGGAACATAGGCATGATCCAATAATATACAATTACATTTTGAATATAACTATACACACGTATGAACGGATACAGGAATTCTAGTCATGATTTTTTTATACAAGTTTCCCTTTTTTTCAAAAAATAAATGAGTAATTTAAACACATGACAAAATCCAAAGATATGATTCAAACAATGGTATGCAAACATGAAGATGACCACATATAACTCACCGAGACTCCTGCTAAAGCAATACAGGGGCCTGTCTACTATAGCTTGACTTCATATTTGGGCAGAGGAGTCTCTAAAGCTGTAAACTCAAAAGTATACTCGTTATAGTTTGTAAATAAGTTATAACATTTAAGAGCTCACATGCCAACTTTCAAGAATGCAGTAACATAGCACTTGACACATAAACGATATTTATAACAATAACAACGGGCTGCATTGATAGCAATTTTTCTTTTCCCCCCTCCAAACAATAATCACTGTTGTATTAAAAAGACAACAACATACGAACATGAACTGTTTTTATAGAAGCAGTACCACAGTATAAGTTAAGTTGCCCTAAAACATCAACAACATGCCAAAAGATGCCGCGCTGTACAGTACTCAGTTATAGTGTTTTTAAAACCTATTTTTATTTTGTATATTCTTTCCACCCCCACATAGTGTGTTATTTACTTGCGTGACCTCTATGGCTGGAAAGCGTTACCTGCAGTAGCCAGACTCATGCTCTTCAGTTTATTGTCCTTTTTCCATTTCATCCTTCGGTTTTGGAACCAGATCTTTATTTGCCGTTCTGAGAGGCACAGTGCGTGGGCTATCTCTATCCTCCTCCTCCGGGTAAGGTACCTATTGAAATGGAACTCTTTTTCCAGCTCTAGCGTCTGATAGCGAGTGTATGCTGTTCGGGCCCTTTTGCCGTCTGGTCCAGTCATATCTGAATAGCATGGATAAAACGCAAGGGGATAAATATTAGCGAGAAAGGACCACCAAACGCATTACACAAGCAAATACTCAATAACTTTGACCAGCACACGTTTGCAAACACAACACAAGCCCACCGATATAGGCTACGGCTATCAATGCACATAAAACTACGCCAAATGGTGCTTATACGCCTCATTCGGCTGTATTGTGGTATTTTTGTGTATTTTTTTTAGGCTATCAATGCATTCCTTTTACTGGGCATCTTATTCCCCATTACAAAGAACATGCTTGGTTACAACATTAGTATTTTCTTTTCCTGAATAGCCACTGTCCTCAACACATCCCTCAACTTTTTTGCACTCTTCTTTCCTGTACTGGCTTTCTCCATTCTCCACATTTTATTGCCGTTCTTCTTCCCCTGCAGTTATAAAGTTCCCACACCTAATAAAGCGTAACTTTTCAAAGGAACAACAACTTCTAAGTCTTCCTGCCGTTTTGCCCTCTCTCTCCCACCCAGTTCCATTCTCTAGCCCTCAGTTTGCGAGGCTTACCCTGTTGACAGATTTATGGCGCTTTTGTGGAATTGGCTAAAATAAAGGCAACATCACGCGCCACAGAGGAAACGCTAACCAATAAAACGAACACACAAAACACAACCTTTCTTATATCAAAATTAGTAAAGATAGACATCACGTAGGCTATATACCATGGCTAATGTGCAGTTTCCGCATCCAGGGAAATATCTGTGGTGCTTGGCCATCGCTCGATGCCGTGGTGGTGGAGGTTGCTGTGGACTCTTGCTTCTGCTGCGTCCGGGCGGCGGGGTTGGCGCTGGCTCTATGGGTGCCCTCCTCGGTCTCGGAGGAAGCGCTCGCCTCGTCTATTTCATTGAAATGTGTGGTGTTGGTGAGGATACTGCCCGTCGTGGAGGCGCTCTGGTCGGAAGGGGGTGAGGAGCATTTGGGTCCCAGACTCTCGCTGTTGGAGCACGGCAGCGGCTCCGGAGACGCCAGCGAGCAGCTTGACGGCTGCCTGAACCGTGTCTCCGGAGTGGGAGACTGGAAACCCCGGGAGTTATCCCCAACAGCCCCAAAGTGGCCAGTATTGGATGAACGATTGACGGTCAGGTCCATCCCATTGTAGTTGTAGCCGTAAGAGCCCGAATGCATGGTGCCGGAGTCCCTGTACGAGGCGTTCATAGCGCTGCTGCTAGTTCCATAATTTAGTAACTGATAGTCGGGGCCATTTGGGTAGCGCCCTGAGAACGAGTTTACAAAGTAAGAGCTCATTTAGGTTGTTTTAGAGGGCTTGATTTGTAGATCTTGGTCGTTATAACGCTGTGCTTCACGATTTATGATGTATTAATGAATTATAGCAATGCACTGTACTTCGTTTTTGCTATGTATGCGGCCAAATATGGGGGTGGGGGTGCGTTTGAGAATCACGTGCTTTTGTTGACCAGTCGTAAATTCTCACTGATGACTTCAAGAGGTAATTCATGCTCTATGGTTACAAATGATGACGAGATGGGAGTCGTTAGACTCAAGTCAACGTGTGCCTCCCCATTGCAGGGTTGTGCTCCGTGTTGGCAGAGAGCGTCACCTACTGGGAATTTTATTTAATGCAGTAAAGAAGGACTTTATAGAATGAGTTTTAGTTAGGATTTAGGTCTCTCTTTCGGGAAGAATACAAATGATTTGTTCCCCCATAACTTTCTTTATCGGTTGTTGTGATCGCAGTATCATTTTGCGTCTTTACTAACCTTTCCTGTGGGAGAAAAAGTGGGCTCGTGGCAATAGATGCACCATTAATAACTGAATATTAATACAGTAGAGAAACACACACTACAGCTAATAACGTTTATAGCTATGATGCCGATTTTAGAGTCCTGCTTATTCTACCATGCTCAGGGGAAATGTCTCGTAAGATTTTAGTCACACTGGCTCTCCATCATAGATAATAATAATAATAATAATAATAATAATAATAATAATAATAATAATAATACCTGATAGATATTGAACACTACGATACTAGTCATATTGATATATAATTCCCTTTTTGTATTATTAATTCGAGGTTACGATACTATTTTTAGGAAGTCCGAAAGGTTTGTTTTAGAATATAGCACACAATAGGTCTAGACTCTAAAGCGAACAGTAACCCCTCAGTCTAAGGTAATGGCACACCTGGTAATGTTTCTTACATGCAAGTAAAAGGTCGCCAATGAGTAGGCCGTGAAATGAAATAAAGGTGTTGTTTCAACGTCACATAATTTGTCTGTGTATTTTATGCTCTTTTCTAAGGCAGCATGCATGCAAAGTTATTGACTGGAAACGTTTTGCTGTGCACAAGAGGAATGCAAAGTCATGATATACGGTAATGGTTGATTTATGGTTTGTTGATTGAAAGGCGCAAGTTATTTCATGTAGGCTATGTGTACCATGATATGTAAACCCCCCTATACAGAACATACATTTGTGCTTACATATAGACCGGAAAAGGATAGTTGAAATAGTCCAGACTATCTCCAAGGGGAGACACAGATTGATACTTATGCATTCTACGTATCCACATATCACACATGAGGCTATTCTAAGTGTGTGTGCTACATCTGTAACATGAAGCCTGGAGAATATCAGTCTACTCAAGTAATACACACTTCAAGACATTTTGCTGTAGTTCACAAGTAGCCACCATATGTATTTGTGCGGTTTTCCTTCTAACTCCAAATGACAACACTATCATGTCTTGGCTACTTTATGTGTCATGTACACTGGGGAGATTGTCGGTTGACAATTTCCAGATAATTTGTGTGTAATTACCTACTGGGGAATACCAGGCCCGAGGGTTCTATTGCATATGAAATGTCACACTGATGGCACCTGGAAAGGGAACGTGACCATTGAGAGACATGGGGTCTTGGATTGGACACTCGAGTGTTTGGGTGAGTGTCTGGGCTGACAGGTCAACTTTCTCTCCCAGCCATTAATTCAATCAGCCTCGCACAGTTTGCTGTCACTGTTTGGGCCTTAAGTATTCACTTGTCTCGGATGAACTTAAATTCGTGTGTTTCATACACTAGTGAAAGAGCGAAGCTTGGTTTATGACCAAGTCACTGTTTGCGCATACCTTTATAACTGCAGCAGATGCACGGTGCTTGCTGTTTTTATGCAGGGCCAAATGGTAGACAATTCACTAAAATAAGATTTCCAGAGAGGTCTTTAGCTTTCCTATGATTTGCTGTTTCAAATACTTATCCACAAGTTTTGTTCTGGCCATAATTGTGAATTATATATGCCTAGGCCAATTTCACTTTCTGAGCCAAATGTGTTCTAGCCTACTTACTGTAAATGGCGTTCTAAGCAGGTGACACAATCACAAAGACCTGTAAAGTATGCTCGCTCAGACCGTGCATGACAGGTTGAATAATTATTACATTTTATTGAATGATTTCGTAAGTAGATACCTATTTGTGACAAAACCACAAACATAAACAACGTATAAAATCCATAAAATATAAACTTTTGACCCAGTCTTTAGGTAGTTTTGAATTATCAGTAGATCAGTATGTTCTCCCCATGAAACTATACAACAAGTCAACCAAACAACTAGATAAGGCTGGGTATTTAACTTTCAAAAGAAATACATTAATTCACCATACAAGGAGAATTTCATTTTATTTCTATACAGTTTTAAATATGAACACGAATATGACATATATTTGAAATAGTTTCGTTATACCTGGCCAATAATGTTTTGGGCCACATCCTAAATCAAGAGGCAAGCGCACAAAAACACTGCCATTCGGGTACCCGAATCATTATAAAAAGAAACATAAAATGACAATAACAATAACAAAAATAGACAGTTAAGTGAACTTCTGGAATGCTACAACAAATTTACCAAACACAACATCACCGGTGGGAACTTTGGGCATATGAAGGATAGTATCTTCATATTTGTAGGATATCCGAAGATGATGCCAGAAGCCATTTTATGCATTTTCTTCTTCTTTTCTTTACTCTGACCTCTTCTCTTCCTCCTCCTCTCCGCTGGTCTGAGAGGAGTTGATCAGTTTATTCTCCTTTTTCCACTTCATCCTTCGGTTCTGGAACCAAATTTTGATCTGGCGTTCTGTTAGGCACAGTGCGTGCGCGATCTCGATACGGCGCCTCCGGGTAAGGTACCTGTTAAAATGGAACTCTTTCTCCAGCTCAAGCGTCTGGTAGCGGGTGTACGTCTGACGACCCCTTCGACCAGGGTTACCGAAGGTCCCTGTCAAAAGAAAGGGAAGAGAGAGTCAAACATTAACTTGTGTTTATAGCACTGATATAGATAGGCTATGTCCGAGGAGAAAGCTTGGGGCGAATACCATGACTGGAACTCGTGAGCTTTTGCTGAAGATTTACGCATTACTGGTAGACCTGTACAGTAGCGAAAAAGGACAATATTTATGGTCCTGGAAGCTGCCCTTAAATGAGTTCGTGAAAGTGCTGTTTACATTATATTACGTAGGGTTATGTAAGATTTTTATAAATATGCAGGATATTTGAATAATGTCTTTTTTTTTTTTTTCGCCAAACAATGAGCGCCAGCATTACAAAAAAGCAACTGAAATATCATGTTATTTCCTGTTGTTTTTTCCACACATACAAAAAGATAAGCTATTCAGAGAAGGGATGTTAGTTTTGGCAAGTTAAATAACGATGTATGATATCTTCATAAACACATTCTAGCCTGCAGTAGGGGCAAACCATGGCGCATCCTAACATTAAAGAACAACGAGCTCTTTACTGATCATCATAACTCTAAGCATTAACAAATTTGCCCACACTGCTTCTGGAAGTCACACACAGCTTCTGCTTAGAGCCAGAAAACAATAAATAGCCTATATAGAAGAGGAGAATCAACTTTTGGATTATGGTGGGTGCACTTAAAGTGATCATAATTCAAACGTTAGGATATCCATATTTTTTTTGTGTGTGTCGAATCGGAATTCCTCGAATGTAATTTATGGTGCTAATTTATTCCTCTATTATTGTGTAGTGTGTTTCCCTATCATATTTCATGCCTCGGACATAATTTCTAACTGTAAACCATAGCACAGCCATTATGTGTATTTGCCTTGTGATACATTTTGAATTTTGTGATATTGAAAGTATTTTTGTGGTGAATAACTAAGCACTAATAGCTGGAACCCTGTCAGAATAACAATACGAGCCATTTTGTGATAAGAAACCATCTTTGATGGAACTGCTACTCCATTGTTGCCAAGGATGTGTTCGTGTGCCGTGCGATTTTAATCTAGAACGTGAATAATGTCACCCTCGAGGCGATAGGAACCATAATCATACCAGTTTATTGGGAGAAAAAAACTATACTTATGGAGGACGCATCAAAGTGTATATTTTATTTTTATAGCATGCTTTGCTTCCTCTACTTTCAGCCTGGGTGTCAAGACACAACCAGAGCGACAATATTCCCCACTGTATGCTCTTCCGGCGCTGTACAGTGCAGCTGCAGGTCACATGTAATAGGCAAACTCTATGTATCAGCCAAGACAGGCAAAAACCAAAACAAACCGTAAGAAAAAACGAATGACATAACAATGTGGACTCACCGTTACACGAGTTCATCCTCTGCATCCACGGATAAACGGGCGTCGAGGGCTTCTGGTCCTCGCTGTCCCCAAATATGCTTTTATTTTGCCCCGAGCAGTCCGTCTTGCGATGGTCTTGGCTCAGTACGAGCGAATGTTCCTCTATGCTGGCGAGGGTACAGGCGGGGTCCTTTTCCCTGTAAAAGCTGGCTGCTGCGTAGTCGCATGCACCGGCGGCGGTGGCCCGGCCATAGGCACCGTTCGCCTGCTGGTAATAGGAGGATGGGTACGCCTTGTCTTGAACGCTGGTAGCGCCATAGGCAGCACCGGGATAGTGTCTTAAAGGATCAGTGTATCCGGAGGAGTATAACGGTATCTGTCCCAAGAAAGACTCTTGTCCTCCAGGCAGAGTCACTGGAAAAGTTGAGTTTACAAAATAGGAACTCATTGGGAGGGTACAGGTTCTTTTCCTTGGTTTATGATTTGTTGTGTTTTATAGTCCAAGTGGTTTAGCTATTAGTAGTTTATCGGAGATTGGGTTTTAGTTGAGGGGGGGCGCTGGGTGGCGATGTGCCAGTGCGGGACAGAGGGAAACCGTACCATCTGACCAGGCGCTGACCAATAGCGTGCGTCAGTGCCTGCAAAATAGCACCCTGGAGGGGGGGGGGGCTGTGATTGCATGCGCCGGGGGACCCCAGCGCAAACCCGAGAGCAGGCGTTTTTTCTCTCTCTTCTCTTCTCTTTCGCCTTTCTCTCCTTCCAATGAGATTGCACAATACGAATCAGATGGAATTTTAAAGTGGTAAATTGAATACATCGACACTTCTCCCCCTTCTGTTTGGTCTTTGGTGAGCCCATATACAGTAAAGGCCCTATTCACTCAAAACAACAAATATGACCCTTCAAATAATCCCCACATTTAAAAAGGACTTGAAAACGTGAATCATATAGAGACGCACCAATGGGGGTTTGAGTTATCTTCTGCATTTGAAATATTTTGTGTTTATATTTTTAGTTGTCTGATTTATTCGCTCAGTACAGTAGCCTATGTGATGAGATATGTCTTCTCCCCTCTTCCAGCACATTATCATCACCATTATTTTCATAGCGATTTCCATCCGGGGTATTTGACAATATACCTAATGTATATTTCAACATGCACGTTCTTATTATATTTATTGGAATTTATTGGAATATTCAGCCTTACAATTGCTTTGGGTTTTGCAACAGTTGCCTTCACTGAACAATATTCCTATATTAGTTGAATATGATACAATATTTTCAGAGCCCTGGCTTTTATCAATGTTTAGAGCAAATTAGCTGCCACACATTAGTCAATATGTTACCATTGGTTGTTTGTTGAACGGCTCTGGCCTATGTTGCGGTATCATAAAAGTTCCTTATTACCGCATTTGTCTAGTCTGAGTATGTATTTACATGCATACTGCCCTGACCACATTTCATGCACCGGTTTTTATTTCAAAAATTATTGACTGGGAAGGTCATTACGCGTTGTAAAGCTTTAAATGTTTCGCTGACTTTTCGACCACGAGTCAAGTCAGTCCTGGGTCTGTTTTTCATTTACAAATGGCATTTACAAAATCATAAATTAGCCAGTCCCAAAAATGAATCCGGTCCTCACACAAGTGTTGTCTGTCCAATAGCGCCGGGAGTCTGTGTAGTTTTACTTTCATTTTGGGTCCCTTTCAAACCAGGACACAGAGCTTCCTTTGGTTTGGCTTAGTTTTGTGTGAACGGAAAACGTCCATTGTGTGACCATTTGTTAAAGTACACAGAGAAATGGGACAGTCTAAGTCTCGGTTAATAATTAATGAATAATAACTACCTTAAGCCAATTTTATTCAGTCTTAACTAAGCAAATGTTAGCATAATGATCTGATGATATGGGGCTATTATTGTGTAAAAACTAACTTCAATGTCTGTTCCTCTGAACCAATTCTCATTTAGCTTTTTGTCTCGTTGCAGGTCTCCTGACAACTTCACGAACAGCAAGGTAAAGCCGGCTAAAGTACTCTGACTTGGTAACTTTTGAGGACAAAACTGCACTGCAGAAAAGTTGTCCACAAATTGCATGGGCAGCAACCCACTGGACACCAACTCAGTGAAAATTACACAATATCTATGGACTATGACCGGAAATCCCAGTGAAGATGCGTCTGACTGTATGGAGGAAAAGTTGTGATTTGTTTATACAGACCAGGGAAGAAACACGCGCCTGTCACTTTTTGACATGTGTCCCGGAACTACCTCATAGTCCCCCGAGTTCCGCATGACATATGCATATGTAAGTATGTGCGCTTTTCATGACCATGCATTGTTCTGTATAGTTGTTTATTTTATAATATATTAATAAATGTATGTATATGAGTATGTGTGTGAAACCAAGTCATGTAGTTATAGGCCTATATCTCCTTGTAAATGTTATATTAGCTACTGTGCATAAAAGGTGTTTTACTCGCAACATTTTGATGGAAATAATTGTATTACAAGTATATTTTGCACGATTAAACATCTCAATAGTGTGTTCTGCTAAGTTCATAACTGCATATAACGTCAAATCTTGGTGATAATGTAGGCCTTTCATTAAAATATAAGTAAGTTGTAAACGAGTTGTGGTGTCTTGTGTTTTGGAGTTGCTGTTTTATTTCACTGGGGAAAGTGTTTTAGTGTTTTATGACCTTATGGCGGCTTGTAAATTCGCAGACACGATTGGAATTGAAAACAAGTGGCGGCAACAGAAGTTATAACAAATGCGCCTGGCTTAGCTCTTACTGTAATTTTGTTTTAAGTGTTTATTATATAAGTGCACTTAGCCTAACCATAATATAAGAAACAATTCAGAATTATTTAGAACCATTTGACTTCTATTAGCCGGTTTAGTGCGCGCTAGCGTGCATAGCCTAATTCATTCGGTTATCGAAAAGAAGCATCTGTTTTTGATACTTGTTCGCCCCATTCTGCTACAGTTGTCATAAACAGTAATCCTACTTTTAACCTTTTTGATTATTGAAAGTGATTATTGAGATTGAAATATTCTACTTTTTAGTCAATTGTATTAAATTAAACCGAGGATTCACCAGTCTTATTTATTTTCATTGCATACACAACGACTCTCTAATTCTGAAGAAACTCCAGTTCTGCACAAGGCATTCTGCAAGTCTTTACATGGATCAAAGTGTGTGGAAATATCGAATTAAACGGAAGTAGATAGCCTATGTGAATAATGCATTAATTAAAGGTGACTACAACAACCATGCTTTTCCGCACAAGTTTAGCTTGGCAATGCATAGTTTAATATTTAGAACTATAATAAAATATTAGCAAACTAATTATATCAATATAAGCAAATATTGTTACCGTAGGCTATATAGGCCCATGCAGCATGGTGTGGTTTTAAGTTGCGGTGTTACAACAAGTGAATAACTTGTGCTGGTTAATGATAGACAGGGCAGACCCTTCCTTACATATTTATAATTGTTCTCCAGAAAGTGACTAGTCCTTCACGGACTTTCAACTCGTGTGAAGTCCCTAGACCGTTACCTGATCAGCCTTCAGCCAAAAGCTTTGGGCGCAGGTTACTCATTAAATATTTCATAGCGTTGGTCTCATAGAGTTTAATATAGGCCTACTGTAGACCTAATTACTGCTAATATTCTGATGTTTTGCAACTTTTAATCATGGTTGGCAGTCAAAATATAGATATTTAGTCATTACTGTATTCTGTTATAGTAAAATACACAGTATAATTATTATTTTGTTTGTTGTAACATTGGCTATACAACAGTCGACGGTAATAAACCTGTACAATTAAATTTGCCATTAAAACTAAACAATTAGCCAGCTCAATGTAACACACACACGCTCACACACACATACAAGTTTGCACGCTGCACGCATGCACGCACCAACAAACAAACGCATTCATGTACCAACACACACACACACACACAAACACACGGTATGAAATACATTCTCGAGGTGTTTACATATGACTGCCTTGCGTGTGCGACCCACTAAACCAAATGAAAACAGTGACCAAGGACAAATCATGTATGCTTCCAACACACACACACATGCACAAACACACACCCGAACACACACATACACACACCCCTCCCCTTTATCCACAACCACAGCTCCATACCCCTCTCACTGTATCTCCACTTCAACACGACCCTCACAAATAATAAGGCTAGATTGCGTTTATAGCACGGTTTGTTTCCTTGGGGAGAGAGCACAAAACACCATACCATCACTTAATACACCAAATGACCAACTAAAGTCAGCCGCGTAATAACAATGAAAGTTACACTGAGTGAATCCAGGTTGGCTCTAACACGGGGCCACCACTATACGCTTCGTTCACTGCACAATGCAATAACCTTGGAGCGGTCATCCGCTTACGTCTTGGTGAAGGGCTTTTTAGAGGGGGGAGAAATGGGGGGATGCAAGAAATCGAGCCTGAAGGCTTGGGCTTCTGCGTGTGTGCCACAAATCTCTCCCAAACCCAGGCACATCAAAGCGCGGCAACAGCGGCTCGAGAATTTACAACCTCTGCATTCTTTTACGTTTCACTGCCACCGAGCCCAACCCACCCCTTACAGCTTTCCTGTTATCTCCTGCCCCAGCCAGAGCCTCACCGCTTTGTTGCACGCAATAGTTTAGAAGAGGGACCAATAACACTGGAAATATCACATATCCGTTTGTCAACAGCTCACGCACTCAGCGACAAACACATTTCCGCACAATCATAGGAGCAAAATATGTACGTTTCAACTGTGCACTACTACGCACGAACACAGAGACACACAGAAATACACATGCACATGCACATGCACACAGACGCACACACACACACACACAGAAGGCCCTGATTTAGGAGGCTTTTGGGCATTATGGATAAATGGACGCTAGATGGCACCAAAGAGTTAGGAACGAGCAGAGGCTGCAGCAAACAGCGACCTGCGTCACTGCAAGATCAAATCAACTGGCATTACAGCAAAGCTGCAAGACTGCCAAGGCGGCTTATCACATTTGGAAATGAAATCCAAAACAAGGTCTCTATCATCGTTAAGTGGAATAGGATATCTGTTTATGCACTAGGTTGCTACCCTTTATTTCCTGATAGTTATTGTATCTGCATGGACGAACTTGAATAGTAGGCTGCGTATTTTGCTGACAATATGCCATAAAATACCAAACGTACTATGCTATAACATAATAAATGTATATTATAAGGAATTGCTGTGGTGTTTGTTGAGATGTCAAATACTGAAGTGAGATGATAAAGAATATTTGATATTAGAAGTATTGTGATAAACTGTAGACAGACAGACAGACAGACAGACAGACAGACAGACAGACAGAGAGACAGACAGACACACAGACACACAGACCGATAGAGAGAGAGAGAGAGAGAGACAGACAGACAGACAGACAGACAGACAGACAGACAGACAGACAGACACACAGACAGACACACAGACACACAGACAGACACACAGACACACAGACAGACACACAGACACACAGACAGACACACACACACAGATGGATAGACTTGCAGATAGATATATAGGTAAACAGACTGCCAGACCCTTGATACACAGCTAGCAGCGAATATTATCACTCACAATTACGCATTATACACTAAGTAATAATACCACCATTGATTATACATTGAAAAAATAATATGTTATAACTTTGGATGAGGATAGGCAAGCATGATTTGTGTCAGTATAGGCTATTAGTGGCAGTTGTAGTAGTGGTAGCCTATTAAGTGATCATGTTTATAGTGGTACATTGAAAATAACTAAATAGTAGGCTACGTTTGGGTTAAGGCACAGACAGACTGAAACAGATATCATAACAAGTGCACTGTGGAAGCAGCATTTATGGTGGGTGTGGGGACATTTTACTGACGAGGAGACGACAAATGGACACCAAAGGGTCTAGCGTGTAAAAAAAAATACCGGATGATGGCACAGAAGGGGAAATGAAAGGGGAAATAAAGCAATAAAACCCCGCAGACACATACAAAAACATTCTCCACCGCACAGACGCACCAACTGTCCAGTAACCTGGAAGCGTTGCGTCGGTGATCTGGAAGTGATACGCTACACCACTATTTGACAAGCCCTTGCGTAATGGAGGATTTAGAAAAAAGACGGTCAGTCTCAATGCTATACTCAAAAGATGATCTGCTATCTCTACAAAACGCCATGTTGTGTGCCTCGTCTTGTTTGTTTCCACGGTTTAGGGAGGCGTACGAGAGCGAAGGAATGTTGTATAGCCCCGTGCCTTTTGATTAAGGATTCCACTTAAGAGGTGACCCAAGACTGTACATCAGAAATCCTATTTGCATAGGAGCCGCTCCATCAAACCTCGCCCTCGCAGCCCGGACACGGGTATCCTTATACCACAAACACCCTCAGCCAGCCACAAATGAGCATATCGAAATCGATATGTATTTCTCTAATATACCTCCGAGCCAAATACAAATTCGTCATGCACACATAACAAGGTAAACATCTCCAAGCACTTTCGAGTGATGACATCTTATTGAACGTCATCATATCATTTAATATTTACTAAAGGTTTATGCACACCTAAAACGTGAAAATGTTCATTGGAGAGAGCAGTTATGATTTCGTTTTGAATAATTGTTTTCAAACTTTATGTGAAACGAGACAGCGTGAGTGTAATGACAGACAAGCACGCCTTACCTTTGTTGATAATCCGTCACTAAGTCCTTGGATAACATCCGCGAGTCTCGCACAGCTCGCGGTACAGCATTCCTGTTGCCCCAGCTCGGTACCGCCATTAGCGCGCGAAGTCACCACTGTGGCTTTACAGTGTCGCAGGCCGCCTCCATACAGTTTAATTTACATTAGTCAACAGGAATGAAGCATCCCGGTATGAAAAATTGGACAGACCCTCCGGTGTGTCCAGATCTCTCACAGTCAGTCACTCTTTCCATCGCAGCGGAAATCCCAATCACAGTCGGCCACATTTGCATAGCGCAGGGCGAGGAGGCAGGTCTTCCAGTTTCTCTGTAAACACTGCGCGGGGATAAGGTTATTTTTTTAATTTCATACATGCGATTAAAGAGCCTAGAACCTTGAAGGAGCACAGTGTTGCTACAGAAGGTGCGGTGTCCAAACGATTGCTGCAATATAACCACTTGGGAAATCATAAAAAGTTCATGTTCACGGTTACCCATCCACATGACCATCCTCGGCCAATCCCAGGACCCAGGCACTCATAAAGTTCTATCACAAAGTTGTAAATTTTCATAAACCAACAAGGAATTTATTGCATTTCTTCATGACTGCTTTAACAGCAGTGGTTCCTCTATCGCCATCTTTTTCTCTCAAAAAGGAAAAGCAAAGGGAGGATTTCTCTTCTGTTTTGCATAAAATATTTTGTAGGCCGATCGGTGGGACATAAACGTTTCTTGTGAGGGTGTTTTTGTGCACTTATGAGCAATTAATACAACTATATTGCTCAGATATTTAATATCTAGTCTCTTTTCTAAAGATGTTTGAAAGGGATATCTTTGTGTGCTATTGGCACAATGCGTAAATGTTATGGATAGCAAGAAAATGGAAGACAAGACTGGGCTTACATTGACCTTTTTCCTGTTGTTTAGTTATATTATCATTGTATTGTTGAAATGTAAAAGAAAACAATTGCATAAAAAACAAGAACTACTTACAACAAAAGCTAATGATGAACCAACATATCTCATTGAATAGTTGCATACTCAAATTACATCATGTTAGCCATTTACGTTGCTTATAGGTAATTGCTATGCATTCTCGAGGCCTTTGTTCAGATGTTAGATATTATTTGCATTAATATAGCTTGTATGAGACCAGCTTTATGTATTGACGGTGTATTGGTGGTGTATGTTCAGAATAAAACCATTTTCAGAACAGAAAATCTTGCACGGCTACGATATAGCATTGAAAACATAGGCTTTGAGGCGTGTAAGCTAAACAACAAAGCATTCCAGTCTACCAAAATGTCCAATAGGAGATACTTTGATAAAGAAGGCTTAATCGAATCACAACCATGGAAATATGCAAATATCAACATTCAACTGAATATCTATGCTACAAAAGGCGTGCGTAAAATATTTCGCACTGCGGCATATAATCGCCGCATTGTGGCCAAGGCCCAAATCATAAAGATGTCTTCTAAGGAGGTACTAAAGAGAATGAAATGCATTTGCATCCTGGTTTCGTTTTCGTCTAATACACAATAATTAAACGATGCAATTTGATGCTTACTATAAGCAAATTAAATATGTTGATTATTAACGAAAATTAAAAAGGAAAGACTAAAGTCTGAAGACGAGTATTGTTACAGGGCCTGCAATCCTGGCACATGAGCAGACGTTTTCGTGAGCGCCTGTTTCCCATTTTGTTGATTTTTTAGTTACTTTTATGGTGGTTTCCGGTCTTTCATTGATGCAATAAACGCATTAGTTACAACCCCCAATATATGCCTTCTTTTGGCCAGTGTTGTATGCACAGAACCAAGGCAGAGACTATAGCCAACAATTCCAGGGCAAACGGGTAGATTTAACATCCATAGGTTAGCCTAAAATATATACTACTAAACTAAATGTTCAAAATAACTCAAATGCTTGCATCATTAAACTAAACAGGATCGAAATCATGATACGGATAGGCTGTTTATAGCAATACCAGTATTCCTATTATAATCAATACTAAACATTGGGCTGCATTAGAAATGGAAACAGGTTAGGCTACCTTGTCTTTATAACCACAGATTCAAAATAATATTCAATGAAAATTATAACACTTTGCTATAAGGCCTACAAATGAATAGGCCTATTTATTTATTTGACCAGACTAGCCTGCCAGTGGAAGGCTAGCCTACTATCAACAAAATGTGAAAATTTGTGGAAAAAAAGTGTACTAAATTCTGATAAGATTGTGGATAGTATCATGCTGTCACAAGTTTTGTTAAACAAAAGGCTTAATGTGGACTTATTTGTTTAAATGAATTTAAGAAGTATCACCTACAACTGTACATGTAGCCTAGGCCTAGTCATTTAACCATCATAAATGTTAACGTTTGTCTTTTTATTTTAAATCTTCGATGTAAGAATATCATTTCTGATTCAACGAATAGCCTAAGCCTCCTCGATAGGCCATCGCATAGGCCTATGCATTACAAACATAGACATTTACATTTTAGTCATTTGTAGCAGACCTCTTATCCAGAGGACTTCAGGACATTGGGTTGTGCCTTGCTCAAGGGCACATCGACAATTTTTCACCTAGTGCTTGGATTAGAACCGACCTTTCGGTTACTGGCACAACGCTCGTAACCACTAAGCTACCTGCCAACGATCTCATATAGGGCCTAAGCATTTATGAATGTAGAATACACCCAATCCAAGAGAAATCCAAAACATTTTGTTTTTGTAATTGATTAATTTTTGTTTTAATGACATGAACAGAACTCTTGTGCAATTGAATAAGAAATAGTTCCTCACAACACGAAAATATACAAATTCCTACATCTCGTGGTCCGGTGTAGGCCTACATGTCAAGAATAAAAACAAAATACGTAAAATCAATTGACATAGGTAAAAGCCCTTACAACAAGTCATAAAATACATCCAGAAGATCACAAGATGACAGAGAATGAAAATATAATAACTGATCTTAGTTTCCCTTTTCTTGCATATAGGCTAATTTTCCCAACCAGGGTTTTGCAATATTTCAGGTCTACGTCAAAACACTAGATAATATTGATCTAAATCAAAATGTAAGCAACAATAGCTTATTTAGTATCGCTTAGAAATCAATGTATTTTATTTATTTATACAATTTCACTGTACTTTTAATAAAACAATACGTGGCTTTAGACTACATTAATATATCATTAATCTTATAGGTAGTATTGTATGTTTAACTCAGTGTAAGAATAGGGGGACACGGTTTTCCCCTACGGTTTTAATATAATATCAGTCTCATGTAGTGCTCATTAGTCTTTTCACCGTCCGTTCGCCGTCACTACTCGTCTTCATCCTCATCCTCCTCGCCCCCCGGCGGTTCGGCTGCAGGGGAGCTCCGTCCGGGCGTCTTGTTCTCCTTCTTCCACTTCATCCTCCGGTTCTGGAACCAGATTTTGATCTGCCTCTCGGTGAGACACAGCGCGTGAGCGATCTCTATGCGTCTTCGGCGGGTCAGGTAGCGATTGAAGTGAAACTCCTTCTCAAGCTCCAGCGTCTGGTAACGCGTGTACGTCTGTCGACCTCTCTTTCTGTCTGCACCTGTAAATAACAGAGGAAGAGCTTGTGTGAGAACAGAACAGAACAGACAGAAATCGAGAGAAAACACATTTCATTTTTTCTCAACAAACTGAAATAGTTAAAAATCAAATGAAATCGAATGCTCTAGATCGACTTTGTTTTTATTCTTGTGAAAGGGTAGTCCTATAGGCTATAGCCTGTGTGTTATTTTTTGTAACTAAATAATAAAACTTTGATAAAAGTGCATGGAAAGCATAAGTCCAGTGGAGGGAAATGTTGTGAAATTTGCTGAAATAAATCAAACAATTTTGTTATAATTCTGAAGATTATATGATTCGAAGGATTAGTTGTGGAGAGGATATTGTTATTATTTACTATCTTCTCGGAGGTTAAAAGGCAACTGGGGGAAATCTTTCTCATATTAATAAATACATTTCTGAATCTAGCTGGGCCAAATGTACTGCATCTGTTGTGCTACCTCAGTAGTGACCTATGTCGTAAACACGCCTTGCAGAGCAAATATAAACATCTAAAAGTTACATTTTAGGAGCTGTTTCCACTACTAATTTTGATGTACAGTAAATAGTTTTACAATCCCCGCAGGTATAACCGTTGGGGTAGTAAAAGGGAAGCTGATGTATAGGCCTGAATGGAAGTGGTAGTAATTTCCACACTGTTCTTTTGTTATGGAATTCTAGTCAAAAGTATCACTTATCAGAAATATAAATAAATTGCAGTGTTTTTTTCATTAGTATTCCTGGTCAGATAGCGTCGACTGTATAGCTATAGGCCTACCACAAATCCTTAGTGTCATTGTGGCCTGGAATCCAGCAAAGTTTGATGAAAATTATAAGAAAATAATAGTACTAAATAACCAATATTTGTAATGAGATACTATAGGCCTCTACATGCTTTGTATTACAAGTTTAGGTAATCTATAGGTTTCCTATTCCATCATATGCATAATACATGATATTTTTGTAAGTATTAAACTAGCCTTATACTTAGAGCCACTTACTTTTCATTCACATTCATGGTGCAATTAATAGAAATAGGCTCTACCTGTAATTCTAAATGGACTGATATACATTATCATTCAATTGGCAAGGATTCAAACCAATAGTGGCAAAGGGCACGTAAGATCCTTCCATAACCGGTAGCCTAGCTTATACAATACAAGTTGGTTATAAAACCATAAAATCCATCTGAAAATGCTCAGCTGTATATTCATGCATTTCCCTTTTGCACAAAATACCTAACATTCCATTGCCTTGGAACAGAAATGGGAGTTTTGGTGTGCTCAACAACACAACCTCCACCACACAACAGGACCCCTATCTCGTAATGGGGCGTAGGGCCTTCTTGAATAAACCTCGATGGCATATTAGGCGAGGAGCAAAACATCATCACTCCCTGTTGACATACACAAGTGGTTTTACTTCCAAAAGTTCCGCATACGATGCGAATGGGACGGGTCTCCTCCCGTTTCCGCTCAAGGCAGACATCTAATGGAGTCTGAACTGAGCTGCAGCACTGTGGGGTTTTATTGCACGCCGTGGTCACTGGTGTGGTTCTCATTTCCTCTCTGGCGACGTGTCACATTCTGGGTGAAACTGGCTCGAAATGAGACAGGAGGAGGTTTGGAGGTCTGGGGGAGCCAGCCGAGGAAGGGGAGAGGGAGGGAAAGAGAGAGAGCGCGAGAGAGAGTGAGAGAGGGGGGGGGGAGATATTCTTATTGATTATATGTTTCTCTGCTATGGTGTCCAGCAGTGATTTGTGTTTCAGCAGAGAGAGACGGCTTGGCTGGAATTCTTCTCCGTGAAACGCAGTTTTGTCAGGAGTTTTAACAAGAGCGAGCATTGTGCTCTCAGAGACCCTCTAGTACACTCACACATAGTCTACAACACACCCGTCCCGGAGTATAAGACATTGAAAGTTAATGTCTGTGTGATAGAGAGGGCTCTCTCTCTGTGTGTGTGTGTGTGTGTGTGTGTGTGTGTGTGTGTGTGTTTTGTGTGTGTGTGTGTGTGTGTGTGTGTGTGTGTGTGTGTGTGTGTGTGTGTGTGTGTGTGTGTGTGTTTGTGTTACTATCTATCAACTATATTTGATAAGGGTATTATTTATAAAGTGACATTTGCTTGAGGATAAGTTATAGGTAAAAAAAAAACTATTGACGTCTCATCTCTGCAAGATTATTTTGTGTGTGAGTGTGAGTGTGAGTGTGAGTGTGAGTGTGAGTGTGAGTGTGAGTGTGAGTGTGAGAGAGAGAGAGAGAGAGAGAGAGAGAGAGAGAGAGAGAGAGAGTCTACCTGCCTGTCTGTCACTGTGTGTACCTACTAGTCAACTCGAGCAATGTCTTGATTTATTATATTTATTTGTGCATGAATAGTCTTAGCCATCGCAAACACAATGAAGCTATGTCTTTATACCAGGTGCCTCATTAAATTACACTTGAAAATCTAAATTAGGCTCCTATACGCAAATTAGCAGGAGGTAGGCTGGCAAAGAGAGATTTTTTAAAAATTAAGTATGCATATTTCACACAAGGACATAAATAGCTTACACACAACTTACACTACGAGTGTAAATTTATGAGAAAACGTGTGGCAACGAATACCTGCTAGTAAATGTCAAAAGCCCTGTTAATGAGGACGTATCTGTTTCAAAACTATTTATGATGTTGTACGTTTTACACCAGAGGCTAACAAGAGGAGGGAGCACTAAATTGACAATTGACTGATAGGAACTTTGTGATAATAGTAGCCAAGGCCTTGAGAGGTTACTGAAAATCATTAAACAAAAAGTTGTCAGCCACTATTTCACTTGAGCCGCGCGCACTGAAAGTGGTTGTTACTTGATGGTGTGTAATTGTTCACACACACACACACACGTTTTACGCATGACATTATTTGACAGTACACTTAATCTAACGCTGGCGTAACATGAATTGCTATTTTGTAAGCATATTTTTTCTCAGTCTAGATTTACTTGTTTGTTGTGTGGGCTGTAGGCAGCTGTAAGGCCCACTGAAACTATTCAACAAGCCAGTTCAGAATGTCAGACAAAGGCGTTTCTATAACAAAACAACACAGCCTAACATCGCAGACCAAGAGCTAACCAACTATTAGCATCACAGTCTTTAGAGTGTTTGCAACATTCGGAGGCATTTATGCGATAATAATGTAAGCCAGTGAACACAGGGCAGGACCAGGCATCTGAAAATCATGCTGTGTTGTAGAGTGCGCTTACCATGAGATCTTATCGAAACAGCATAAACAACAGAAAGTGATGGAATAGCTTAAGTAGGCTATTTCTTTCTACCCGAGGACGGAGTAAAATAATCCAACGCCCCCTCTCTCTGTTTTAACACAATACCGCCTAATGAATATTCAGATGTCTTAAATTATGGTTTTATTGAGGTCGTATAGCAATAAAATATCTGCGCAGGCAAAGCGGCGTAAAGCATAGTTCAGGAAGTCGCCCTGGCCACTTCGCAACAGCACTGTTTAAAGACCGTTTAGCGTAATTATTAGGACGGAGCAAAGCCCCATTCCTTTCTCCCCTCCTCTTCTTTTGAAAACATACATTTTAAGCTCACATACCTGAGCTTCTCATCCAGGGGTAGATCCGTAAACTGTCCTCGTTCTGTCTCTGCTCCGCCTTACCGCAGCTGGACACCTTGGACGGGTCACCACCGGAGCAAATCATGGAGAGGTTGGGGTGTTCAAAGTGGGAGCAGTGCATGCTCAGAGAGCCGGTGCCCAGCCCGTACGCAGAGGGATACATGCTGTGGGTTTGGGTGGGCATGTTCCCTGCGTTATTGTACAGTCCCGACAGTGTGGAGGAAGAGGAGGAGAAGCCTGCGCCGCCGGAGCCCGAGACATAGCTGCTGGCTCGCGGTGAACTGGACGCAAAGGCGCAAGAAGTTTGCTCGGGAAAGACCCCACTTGGAAAAACCGAACTTGCAGCTTGATATTTGGAAAACAAAGCGTTCGCATAATACAATGAACTCATAATTTGACCGGTGATTTGTAGGCCGGGAGGTTTTAGTGTCGGTTTTACGAGGTACTGTGATATATTACAGAATTACAGTCTAGATTTACACCAAAAATCACCCCTTTTTCCTCAGGGGCCACGTGACGAGGGCCATGTGATACAAACTCGTCCAATAACAGAAGGGCTTCCTACAAGCTCAGCTAATGTGGAAAAAGTGCACCACTGACCATACACATAAAATACTTTAGTCTATTCACTGTAAGCCAAAAGGTAAGCCTACCTCTAATCAAGGAACTAACTAGAACACAAACAAATCGATGGTCAATAGAATATATTATGTAATCACCCCGCACGTTGCACAATGATAAAAAGGGCTGATCCTTACAGATATCCAACTGAATGTATACAGACATATCTTAAAATGTCCTCGACTTCTCGTTGGACACCACACAAATAAGAAACACCTATTTGTTTCCATATCGATTTTACTTAACCTTGTCACAGTTGGGATCTCTCAGTAAGTTCTGTCTGTGGTCTCTGCGCACGCAGCCTCTACTATGTCCAGGGACCAGTGGAGCCCACTCTGGGAGAATTTCTGCTTCAGAGCATCCCTCAGTCCACAGCAACCATCTCCAGCACGACAGGGAAGCTCTGGACAACACAAGCACTTTTGTTTTTACAGAACAGGGAGGCCAGTAGCTGTCTCGAGTCGCCTCGTGCAATTTACCACGCTCTCCCGGTGTTTGACAGGATTCACCTGGCGTACAGGTGCTTTTATGCACCTTTTTTTCTTTCCCCCTCTCGAATAAGACTCAACATGAATGTGACTGTTATGGGAAGTGAAATATCTTCCAGGGCTGTCAAAATAGTCATGTGATTTAGCTAGCCTTTACAGTGTGGTTCCACATGCCACGGCCTTATCTATGTCAAGTTTGTGGGGAGATAAACATGTATGACACTTGAACAATTCTGACCTTGCGTCATCCCTACATTGTTAGAAGTGTGCACATAAATACTAATTGGTTTGGTGAAGGTTTTAATGCACTTGTGTCATTTGGGTGAGATAACTAATTAGTTGAGTCAGTCTGTGTGGTGACGTGGCTACTGGGATCCACACCTTGAGAGGAAATGAAGCAGAGAACAGCAATGATGTCACAGAATTCTCGCTTGTAAACTTTATTGTGTCCTCTGTCTTCCGCCGCTTCCAGGTTTAGACAATAGAACAACGGGATGAAGAACAATAAAGCATATCATCAAGTCCCCACAAACTAATTCACGAGTAGCCTACAGTACACATTCTGTTTCAACGAGGGGTCACATGACATCCATTTTTATTTACATGGTATTTTTATTCATTTTTTCATTTTTTGCACTGTGCGCATGCTTACCCAAATAAGGAAGACAACAAAATACCATCAATCAAAACTAAGTAAGGAAGGACTAGTGTAAAAAGAGGAAAGCCTACAGCATAAATAGGCAGTTTCATGTTGTTGGAATTCATTATTCGCTACGTCATCATAACATAGAAGTGAGAACAGTAAAAAGTGCACAATTTAACTTAAAAACTATACAGCTGCCAAGATAATTGTTAATGACAAAATTCTAACAATATAAATGTTGGTTTTTTTTTCACGATAATTGTTCCACAAAGAAAGGACGCTATTTTTAACACAATAATACTTTCCAACATCAGATAAAAAGTACAAATGCTTAATTTCCCGTTCAAATGTTTCGTTTTGTCTCCCAACAACCACAATGTCAATGGTCCTGTCCTTTGTCACCGTCAGGAGACTTTCCCATCGATTGAAGCAAACATGGAACTACTAGCCAAAGACTGCCATGTTCCGAGACAAAACCACATGCTGGCCCCTCTACCCTTATCGCTCTCGCTGCCTTTTCCGCGGTGCTGATTTCGATCCCCGATCTCCCTATAGCTTACATTTGCTTGGCTTTGTCGCAGTCTTCCCCGGACGAGTGTGTCCCCGCGCCCTGCTCCTTCTGTCGTTTCTCCTTCTCGATCTCTTCCTGCTCTGTCTTACTGCTGGGGAATTTGTCCTTGTTGTTTTCCTTTTTCCATTTCATCCTCCTGTTCTGAAACCAGATTTTGACCTGTCTCTCGGTCAGTCCCAGGGCGTGCGATACCTCGATTCGCCGCTTGCGGGTCAGGTAGGGGTTGAATAGGAACTCTTTCTCTAGCTCCAGTGTCTGGTAGCGGCTGTAGGTCTGTCGGCCTCGCCTCCGTCCGGCAGCTACTGGCAAAATGAGGGGACATGTTTGAGGAACACATACAAATAGCCATTACGAATAGCCTATACAAGTTCACAAGTTCTCTTATCTCCATCCCCAATATCCCCGTAAGCAATTATTATTGTCTAGGCCTACAGAGTGAAGCTATCAATTATATCATCCACTCATTTTTATATCCCTGAGGTTACATAAACTTAGATTGACTTCCAAGTGATTTATCAGCATTGCAATACAATTCAAATGATTGGATATTCAATGTCCACACATTCATAGGATATGAAGTAAAATCCAAGGAAATAATGTCTGACGCCCACACATGTAGGCTACTCGATGCATTAGGTGAAGCCATAAAGCGCCTAACCTGTGGGAAATGGCCACCTTGTAGCGAAATAATCCCCGAGACCACTGCAAGTCGTAAAAGCGAGTAGTAAAACTTTAACCGGGGTGAGAAGTAAGTGTATCAGCAGCGGGCCAGCTCGCACATGGAGAAAAATGCTTTGCTCTCCTTTCTATTCCCTCTCTTCTATATGGCGGGGTCATTAAACTGTAAAGTGATTCGCAAGTTTTGGACACCATAAAACAATAAACACGCTTTGTCTCTCCGTTGGAACACAGGAAATGCACCTCAGCCCTAATTGCGGATGGTTTTAAGGTTTAACATTTTACCCCTTTCCCACTTTCCATGCATACCCACAAGCAACGTTTCAGTTTGAGCTCTGACTTACATTGCGGTCGCATCCACGGGAATAACTGCGTTGGAGAGGGGCTCTGTTCCGTGCTCTCCGTCTCGTCCCCGATGCCACCAGCGGCTAGCTTGCAGTCGTTGTACTGGACCAAATCCGCGTCCTGGGGTCCAAAAAGGGTTTGCCTCTGGAGAGCGTCGTACCCGTAGAAGTTGCCCGGCTCTCCATGGCACGTTACGGCGCAGGGACTCTGTTGGTAAGGGGCACTGGAGAGCGTGGACGCACCGTGGTGGTAAAATTCCTGGATTTGAGGGGGATGTTGGAAAGTTGCTCCAGTGCCTGGTCCATACACTACTGTGGGTCTACTCCCAAGGTCCTGCGCGAACCCGCACTCATAATAATTGGGACGTAAAGAGTCTCCACTCTTGTATTTGGAGAAGAGAGAGTTGACAAAATATGAACTCATCTTTTGTTGTTGTTGGTTTTGTTGGTGTTTGTGATTATAAAGACTCAAGCACTCGAGAGGAAGGCAATTGAAGAGTTCTTGGGTAAAAAAAAAAGAACCCAAGCTGGTTCGCAATATATGGACTAATGTTGTATTTCAAAACACCCAATCTAAATAGCTGAAGCCACAATCATGCCGATTCCGTAAAATCGTCTCCACTGAAGTGCTCCTGCATCACAATTCCGGTATGAGGTGCCAGTTCACAAATAGTTTTCTGTGATTTACTCCGCTGCAAATGAGTTGTTTCATATTTTGCGGTGTCTTTTCACGATCATTTGCATCTATTATCGGGTCCTCATCTCATTGGCTTCTCGCATCCCACACGGACACTGCTCTGCTCTGCGGGCTTCTGATATGGAAGGAGTGAGAGAATGAAAAAGGGAGAAAAAGAGAAAGGGAGAGAGACGGAGGGAGCAAGGGACTAGGGGAAAGAGAGGGGGGTGGAGGGAGAGAGGAGGGGAGAATATGCGCATTAATATATTCAAGCGGGTAAGTTAATGAGAAATCTGCCGCTTTGCATCAGATCAAATACAGAGCGCCCCCCACCCACCCCAACTTACCCATCTTGGAGAGATTGATTTTTAGCATGTAGCCTAGCTAATTGGCAACCTAAAGGGATGTACATATAGCCTACTCATTCATTTCTAAATTCTAACGACGTGGGTTCCTCTTTTTCGAAAATGTCAGGGTCGCCCTGGCAAATTGTGAAAGTACACGATGTAATTGGTATCAGTTTTAACAAGTCCTATAAATGTAATTGCAGTTCTAAAACAACTTGTCAAAGCCTCGGCACCAGCGTCTGAGGCTTGTTGAGAACAAACGAGGTAGTCAGATTTAACATTTTGATTATCGTATTTTTATAAATATTATATTCATAAAGATGTGAAGATATCTGAAAGGACCGCCACTCGTGGTATAATGGGGAAAGTGGTTGTAAATGGTTTAACAAACTATAAAATGCAATAAACGCCGAGGCTGTTTGTTGTTTACACCTAGCATCAAAAAAGCTGTTAGGATTTTATGAGGTTCCACGACCAAAGCCATAAATGCTTCACTTGGAGCAATTTCACCAATACAGAAATATTCAAGTATTTAATTGTCATTTTAGTTGTGTTTTCCATACGGACTGTCATTATAAAGCTGATATTTTAACCCCTATACGTATTTTCTGGAATAACTAACGAGGGGATAACTTGTGGAAATGATGTGTTTGTTAATGAACTCATAAAAACCAAAATATTGTTAGGATTGGGACTCAGATCAGTTTTAAAGAGAACATAGGCCTGCCTACACGTGACTGGTTTAAGAAATAGGCTGAGCATGGTTTGCATTTACAAAATGAAGCCAGGACCAGTATCGTCGAGCATTAATTCAAAATGTATTATTTTATGCCCAGTGTGCGTATGCAAGTAGTAGCCCTGCTAGGCTACCCTAAAATGTAACTGTTGCAATTTTAAAAAACATATTATTAACATAGGAGACCTGAAGAATTGAATGAGGACTACCCTTTTACCATGTTTTTGGAAAACTATAAAACATATGTCATGTGAATGTCCAACTTACAGTAGGACAATTTGTCTGCCATTTTCATATTTTATAGCATGTGCATTCATGATAGGCTACGTTAAAGAGTGTACTGCAATTTTAATAAAGGTTCTAACCCAAACTAATGTGTCTCTTCTTTAACGGCTATTGCGGCTTCAAACATTACTGAGAGCTATCTATTAGAATTATAACAAAAGTTAATATTAGCTACACTGAATTATCTGTTATCCTTTACATATTAGTGGGTTCTAATGTAAATTCAAACATATTCATATTTAGCAACACAAAGCGTTACCAATGTAGAGTTGAACCCAATTTAGCGGCATTTTACTTCTAATATGACGGTTTACAGCAATAGTCCCTCATTTACATATTTTGTTACATTGTAAAAAATATGGACAGCGTTTTTTGATCAAAATAATTTATATAATAGTTGTACTACAAAGTTAAACATATTGCAATCGAATAACAATAACTCCTAAAAACCTTCACAACATTCAGTTGGTTTTAGTAATTATTCCCAAAGTCTTGGACAACTACTTTAAACCAACAGAAAATAAATTATTCAAAATTAGTAGGCTATATAATCCTCTCCGAAGAGCTGTGCACTCTATATAAGTGCTTTAGGGTCAATATATTATCTGTAGGCTAATAACATTTCTGAATAAGCAAACAAATAGCCCAAATCATTACGCTTCTATTTGACTAGTCAAATATATAGGCCTAAATTGAAATCTTACTCTAATACAGGAGAAACATATAGGCTTATATTAATATTCTTGCCGACCTTCAAAATCTCTTAAGTGAAGCAAGTTCAGATGGTGTAAAGGTGGTGTAAAGTGGCCTGTCTGAGTTTTCTAAGGACTTCCGGATAGGCAGACAACACAGTGGAGGCTTTCTTTCGTGGACCAACATCGCCATCAAGAGGCCGTTTTTAGGTGTGCCGCAGGGATTTCAGATTAATACCAGTTTATGATTCTATAAACACGACACATAAACCCACATAATGAGGGTATTTCACAACTAAACAGTGAAAGTATAGGCCTTATTTCGAAATAAGAAAACATATAGGCTACAAGGGCTGTTCTTCTTCTGTTGGGTCTGAAGACAGGGCTGTTCTTCCTCTGTTAAGTCTGAAGACAGTCTGAAGACATGTTAGTCTATACATAGGCCTAATGCCGCCTAGTTTATATTATATTATATAACATATTATTTGAGATGCAGTAAGGAAACCTGAATAATGTAATATATATATATATATATATGCAACTTTGTGATCATACGGCAAGTGAGGTTATTAATTATTTCTAAAACGAATGACGTGTAAACACGAGAGTAAATGATACTTCAACCATATTCGACGACCTCTCGTGCATGGTTCAAACGAAAATAAGAGCTCATGCTAGGAAATTAACATACTTGTGCCAAAGTTGATGGAAAAACATAATCAACAATATGAATAGAAACACTCATTGACTATGCACATATTTGAGATGTCAAGCTTGCAGAGATTTCGAAGTCAAAGCAATTTAGCGATATTATAATATTAATTTTGCCCATATGAGTTATGCGACTCCCAAAAAACGTTTCCAGATGAACATAAACTCAACCCCTGTCTGTATGCTCTGCCTCCAGGGTACTCCTGGCACATTTATTCATATGATCGCTCGACTACATGGTGCAAAATCAGAGAATATTAACTTATGGACTACAACACTTGGCAGTATAAAGTCATTATTTTAATGTGCTTAAGTAAGCAGGTCCAGTGGGTTGGAAGCTGAGGGGGGTTGGGGGGATAAATGTGTATTTGTGTCATTTCTGTTGGTTTGTGTTTTTTGTTTGTCCTGTCAACCAAAAAATAATAAAAGCTTGATCACAAAAAAAAAACACAATATGAATAGAAACATTCATTGACTATGCACATATTTGAGAAGTGTAGCTTGCAGAGATTTAAATTTCAAAGCAACTTAGAGAAAGTATAATATACATTTTGCTTATTACTATTCGTCCATCTCTGGTTATTATTGTGGGGCCTAATTGTAGCCTATAATTATGGTAATTTATTTGAAAAGTGTGGTAGTAGTAGCCTAATGGTAGGGCTCATAGTGGTAGCAAGTAGTGACAAGAGTGGTAATGATCGTCAAAAAGAGGTTGCAATGATCATTGTCGTTTCAGATTTGGTATGATAATCTGGTATATGATAAAGTTGCCATGATAAATTGGATTTACTCTATTCAGGAGTTTGCCTTTTTACTCAATGAATGTATGAAAAATCCCAGCATACTGTCCTACAACATAATTGCAAACTGAAAATGAGAACATAGGAAAACAGAGCTTTTAAAAGAAAAAGAGCTGCACTCTGACCACCTATTATAACCTTTTCCACGACCTAACAATCGAAGGTTCTGCCACAAAATGGCCAGCCTAACATGGTCGCGAGGTTGTAAACAGATTAAGGTTCCCCTATGTCAGACGTCTCGCCAGAATCTTTTGGCGTTTTATGGCACTGCTATAGGGCGGCCAGGAAGCGCTCGGAAGTGAAACAAAGGGAGGCGGCGAGAACACTGGACTCCGGCCGTTCATCTGGAAGTCCAGACCTCGCCACGCAAGCCCCCCATTCCTAGTGGAATCCGTAAACAACAAACGCTGCAAACAATAAACGACAAACACAAAGGAACAACGTAAATCCCCAGTCTAGGAACGTGGATTAGGCCTACCCCACGACACCTCGAAACGGTTATTAAGGAGGACTTGAAACTTTTCCTTCTCCCCGTGTTTGCTTTACAGCCGTTTAGTTCTTAACCTTCAGAAATTTATACCCTATAAAGTTTTATTGCAGTCATATTATTTTATTGCGGCCACACCGCATAGAATTTTCTTTCTCTCTTTATGACAGTCGGCTTCCCCATCTCCTCCTCCCCAAACGAAAGCCCACATCCTTTTTGCTGTTTGTTTCCTCCTGAAAAATACCAAAACAGGGCCAGGATTGGGTGGTACAGAGCTATAATAACCAATACTGACTCCCTAGCCTACTTAAGAAGAAATAGGCCTTTTATTCCCATATGCTTGGCGACGCAAAAAACTTCCGTGTCTCAGTTGCACATCTGCAAGCCAGTAGTTCTGGTTGGCCCGAACTTCAAGATATATTTTAATTACTACAGGCTGCAGGGATTCATAGAATAACACCCAACAATATTATTGTGCATTCAATCTATATTCAGTCTCCATAGTTCCACACCCATGTTGTTATTTTCAATTTCTGAAAAATAAATCAATGAAACGTTAGCATAATCGTTTATTATAGGATGTTACAGAAGGATATAGGGTATGAATTGTACCATTATATACCACATTGTACCAAAATACGCGCAATACATCTATATAACTATTTAATCCAAGTTCATGAATAGACTTCTTTTTAATTAGCCTAAATATATTATATGGACTCATTATGCAAAGGGTTGGGCATTTGCTGGGCGTGCCATTTTTGGAAAGACGCATAAAAAATCATACAGTTTTCTTTGCGTTCATCTTTGGGGAAAAAAAGTGAACATGGGCCTTAGAATCATTACCTACCTCACTAGTCATGTGCATCAGGCCTCATGAATAGTATTTTCCACGCACAGTACAGCACAGCAGATTGGTTTTCTTCCATGTCCTTCTCTAACCCCTTGAGGGCATTTTTTTTTCATACTGGCCCCCCCGTGGGAAACGAACCCACAACCCTGGCGTTGCAAGCGCCATGCTCTACCAACTGAGCTACACGGGGCCATGGAGTCCTCTTAATGAATGTTAGGGTCTAGGCTATCTTCTTCAGGGAACCATGTGCATACTTGGCCAAATTGACTCCTTTCCTTCAAGTAC